CAAAACCTGAGCGGTGAAGAAGGGTAGGGTCGAAATTGAAACCACCCGCCACAGTGAACTCGCTCTCTAAGGCCTGGAGAAAGGAGCCCACCTTGGAGAGAATCTCCAAGCTGCCAATGCCGAGGCCCACGGAGTGCTCCAAGTACAGGGAAACCGTGCAAAGAGACGGCGCAAACGAGCATGTACCATACAAGCCAGGGCTCGACCAGGCGCGATGGAGCGACCACCGTCAACTTCGTAGAGACCCATCTAATCTCTGACCCGCACCAAGACACCAGAAGAGTCACCCCCATTCGGCCCTGGCATGCCAGCAAGCCAGAATGATTCCCAGCCGAGACGCACCAAGGACGCTGAAGCTCCGTGTCTCAACCCACGGTCTCGCAGGCGGTGCTCCTGCACTAGAATAGCATGCGCGTCTATCTCACCATCCAAGCATTAGCAATCCAAGCGTTGAGCGCCACACCTTCCGAGCGGCCCAGCACATCGAGCGACGAGTTAGACAGCCTGGGCTCTGGGACGCGCTGGCCTGGCTTGTGCGGCGCTGGGGCAGAGCGGGTCAGCTTCGGGAAGGTAAATGGGCACCTGCCCTTGGCACGGCGACTGGCAGGCGGCGCGCAACGAGAATGGGGAGCAGGAGCTTCGTCGCTTTCCATCCATTCACAAATCTCGGTTATAAGAGAAGCCGCTCCCGCCCCGCGAATGACCCGCTGACATTGGAGGGCCAGCTCCTCCAAAGAAAGCGACAACAGATCGCGATCCTTGCGTTGTAACAACCTAACTCCGATAATGAAACCAGCGCCAGGCGGGGAGGGCGCGGCCATCGGGCTCGAGAGCTGTCCGACAAATCCCTGTCCAGCCAGCTCAAAAGCTGGATGGGGGACCAATAAGACAGGTGAGCTGATATTGAAACTCTTCCTCACCTAGCTCATTACTGCAGGATGAGGCCGAGAAAAACAAAACAAATGCAGCTGGGGTGGGCTCAGAGGGATCAGAAGATGACGACGCCGAGCGTTTTCCTGCAGATGATGCCGTCAGACGCCGCTGTCGGAACGACTCCCAAGAGCACCGTTCCACCTCGTCCTCAACGCAGCTGAAGAAATCTGCGAAAACCCCAATTCACAAAGCGCTGCCGCCGTGGACGGGGTCTCACCAGACAGTGCTTCTTCGACTCGTTGGCGCATGTCAGGCTCGATAGCAGCGGGCTCGACATCTTCTGCAGCTGGGCGAGCGCTGCTTGCAGACCCTGAACCAGGTGCATCGGGGGGCGGCTCCACTGGCCCCGCAGACTTGGCTCCGTCCTCCGTCTTCCTCTTCCAGGTGAGCCGCGACTTACGCTTCTCATGTTCCTCTCGAGCCTTCTGAGACGCATCCAACGCACCTTTGAAGATATCTGAAGCGAGCTTCTGAAAAGCCTCCGACATATTGGTCTCCCTGGCCTGCAACTCCTTCTCGTCATCGGCCGAGAGCTCGAACTCCTCCACATCCCTCTGACCGTCCAGCACGCTGTCAAGGTTGAAGAGGGTAGCGAACTCCACCTTGCCATCCACGAAATCCCTGGTGTCAGCTTTAGCTGGGGGAGCTGCTTCAGCCTTCGGAAGAGTAGCGGCGGCGAGCTCCTGAACACACCCCTTGTAGAGTCTGTCAGCCGAGAGCAGCTCCCCGTTGCGCTGCAGCACCAGACTCCAACTCTGAGCGCCACTTTGTGAGCTTCGCAGACTCGTGCTCCAAGCGTCGCTCGCACTTCTCGACGTCAGCAGCCAACTGCTGCGACCTCTGATGAAATGGAGTTTCCTGGGGCTTGGCCGCGGCGGGAGACTGTGGCGAGCTGCCGGCGGCGCGCGCTCCACCCCGGCGCCTCGCTGCCGCGGAGAGAACTGGGCTGCGCGCCGCTGGTCGCGGTCGGCTTTCCATCGGAGAGCACATGAAGCGATCTGGTCTGGGTCGCGGTCAAGGCCGCCCCAGCCCATGGAGGTCATCCAGGCGGCCAAGGCTCCGACGGGTCTGCGCAGCTCACTGGTCCTTAGCGTCCGTCTTAGCGCGTGCTCTGGGCCTTTCGCGCGAGCCTGTTCATCCCATCGCCGTCGCCAGGATTGCAGCGTGGCGGACAAGGCGCGCCCCCCAAATCGAAGAATCTGTTTTCCAAGTATGGGGGGGCCGCGTCTGCCATGGGGCGTTGGTCCTGCAAGATGTGTTGGTCTCCTGCGGGGTCGGCAAAAGCCTTTTCGGCTGGGCGTGCCTCTGGGAGCTGCCCGGGGGGCGACTATCACCCAGTCCGAGGGCTGCGGCAGGGCCGAGAGGTCAATCCGCGGGATTTGAAAGATGCGCCCCAGGTCGGCATAAGCACGCCGAAGGTCGGCATGGGCCTCGTCTGGGATGGCTTTGCATGCCCATTGGGCCCGGGTGGATGGCTGAGTAGCGGGATCCACGAAAATGGAAACGTGGTCCGAGAGCGATGTTTCCCAAACCTTCCGCATGCTGTGGAATGTCGCCGGCGCGGCTGGGCGCGCGACTGTGTCGATTTGAAATTCGCCGCCGCTTCCGAGCCTCGTCGGGCCCGCGGCCCCAGCGCCCAACAGGGCCCATGAGGCCCCCAAGAGGCCCCCCAAGAGGCCCCAAGATGCCCCCAAGAGGCCCCCCATGAGGCCCCGAGAGGCCCCAAAGAAACCCAAAAGAAGCCCCAACTACCACTTAAGGCATGCAACTTCTAACCCGCAGCCCAGGCACCAAGGATCTCAGGCCGACAACCAAGGCACGGTGGCGGGATGGGCCGAAGGCCACTCATTGTATACACATACATACAATCATACATACATACATACACATACATACATACATACATACATACATACACACATACATACATACATACATACACACAGTCACACACACGTACATGTGCGTAACACTCGGCACTGCCGGGGCTACCAAGAGCATTCCCAAGAGGGGCCCAAGAGGCCACAATCGTCCAATGCCTATGTTTCACATATCTTCGTGGTCTTTCGACCACCCGAGGCATCTCCTCGAATTCAGCCTCCAGGAGCCGTCTTCGGCGCCCGGGACCACCACCGAGGGTCCGGGGTGAGGATCCACCTCCCTGGCCGGCGCCTCCCCTTCGCAAAGGAAGGAACACGGGGTGGATCGAGGTTCGAGGCATGAGACTCCTAGTTATTGGGCGCACTCCGCCCCCTCCGGGCCTTCAGGAAGCTCCTTGTCGACGCAGCTGGGTCCACTCTCGAACTTCTGGCCGGGCGCGCCCCCAGCTGGGTCTCAACGATCCCCGAGCCTATCCAGGGGGGGGAAAAGGAGGCCTGGGACAGGCCCCGTGAAGGTCCCAAGCAACCCACATAAGACCACGAAGAACTTCAAAACAGCCCCCTACAAGGCCCCCCCTTGAACCCCACACGCTACGTAAGACAGGCCGAACCCCCGGGATTGCCCAGCGATCGCGCGCGCTCCGCGAACTCCGTCTTTCACTCTTGCTGCCGCCCCATGGGACTGGCGGCGCGGCGTAAGCCAGTGAATCATCAACGCCGGCCAGGGAAGGGTCAGTCGAGGGCCCGAGCGACCGAGGGGCGGCCGACGATCGACCAAGACCGGCCAGGGAAGGGGCCGGCCGAGGGCCCGAGCGACCGAGGGGCCGCCGACGAGCCTGGGGCGACCAGCGCAAGCGACGGACAAGCGAAAGCAAAGTCAAACTACCAAAATCAGCCAGGGAAGGGGCCAGCCGAGGGCCCGAGCGACCGAGGGTCGGCCGACGAGCCTGGGGCGACCAACACATGCGGCGAACAAGAGAAAATAATGTGAGCGTTCCTTTTCTCGAGGCCAGAGGATGACAAGACAACTCTCCAGTAGCGATGTGCCCGGCAGCCGGGGCGCGAACAGATGGAGGCCGCCAAAAAAAAGGCGCGCACTCGGCGGCTCCAACCTCTCCGAGACCTCTGAGCAGATCTGCAGGGAGGGAGCTTTAAAGCAGGGAGGGCGCTTGAGCCAACAAGGTCACGGAAACAACACTCAGACGCGATGCAAGCCAGCGACCTTCACGGCGGCCCAACCCCGAGACATAAGCTAACAAAGACGTGTTAAACACTAGGCATGTGAGCGTTCCTTTTCTCGAGGCCAGAGGATGCCAAGACAACTCTCCAGTAGCGATGTGCCCGGCAGCCGGGACGCGAACAGATGGAGGCCGCCAAGAGAAAGGTGCACGCTCGGCGGCCCCAACCTCTCCGAACTTGCTCCAAAGCACCATCTGGCCGCAGGCCTTATATTTTACCGAATGGCTTACAGAGCGGGCGGGAACTGCTGTCAGCAACAGCGCGGACAAAAGCGGCGCAGAGCCGGGGAAGGCAAGGCTCTGCTAGCTTACTGAACTTGACACCGCTCGGAGGGTTGCCGATGATTTCAGCGTGCTTTTTTGCCGGAGAAAGAGCACGCACCGCGGCCAGAACATGTGACATTGAGATGCTTACATGAGATGTGGGCGCAGAGAAACTTCGTGCGCTTGCGCCGCGGAGCGCCCCAGGCGCAGTAATCTGTGACACAAGTTTCTATACAGGAGCTTCGCGCGAGGACCTCGAAGGCTCTAACATTCCAAAGCAGGCTCGTGCGAGGATTCTCTACCACGCACGGCACGCTGAGTCTTCGGCACAGATCTAAAACACTGGAGGCAACTTTGCATAAGCGATTGGCCATGTTGACTATACGCTGATCGGCAGGCGAGAGAGAAGGGAGGCCGAGAAGGAAGGCACGCGACCGAACCGGCGAGAAAAGGCATCGGAGGGCCGAGAAGGAAGAGCACGGCGGCGCTAGCCAGATCGCCGCGATCAAACCTGCGCGAACCCATCCGCGAATTTTTCGGACGAGGCTCTCATTTAGCAAGTCAAAGTGCGGGCCATGTCGAATGTCGATCTCGAAAATCTGAATATTCTCCTATGCTACAGCTCGCCGCCATGGTCGAGCAAGGCGTCCTGAACCAGAAAAGATCTCTAGAGCAAGCTGTTCCGTCACAGCTGCCTGGCGGGCAGCGGTCTCAAGATCTGCGAGCTGATGCGGGCGGCGGCAGTGTGAGCCTGGCGCTGCACGGCGTGCGAGCCCATGCTGCTGTCGGACGCCTGTTGCCCACGCTTCTTGATCTCGGCGAGAGGGCGGGCGTGGGTGGCCAGCTCGCGGATCGCCCCGCTGTGTCGGAGCTGGCACGGCGTGGGAGGCCCCAGGTTGTCGAGGCCCTTGTCTACCGCGGCCAGGAAGAACAGGGCGGCCCCGCTCGAGTACTTCAGGTCGAGCAGAGGCGGCGTTGCGCCGAGGCCGGCCCTGACCCGTGACAGCAGGCCTCCCACCCGACCGAGCACCGTGTTGTCGTGGCTCAGCGGCTCGCCGAGCCCGCCCGTCCTTGGTGGCGCGCTGTGCTCCGACTCGAACGGCCGCAGGGTCCACGCCGCCAGAGCTCGAGGTCCCTTCGGCGACTGGTCCTGCCGACAGTACGAGGGGGCCACCAGGAGGAAGGTGACCACCGACCACAGGTAGCCCTGGAAGTACAGCGCGAAGGAAGGCCGTCACCGTCGAGACGAGCTGGGCGGTGCTGTCGATCACCCCGCTGGCTGCCGCACACCACAGGCAGAGCTGACCCACCATGTGCTTGTACCGAGCTTCCTGATGCTTCTTCACGATGCGCCTCCCGAGCAAGGGCGGGCCGAGCTCGTCGACCGTCGACCCCGTCACGTAGTCCCGGTGGCGGCGAGCAGCGATATCGGCTCGAAGGCCTGGCTCGAGGCCGCTGGGCGATGCCACCGGTTGTGCCACGGACTGCTTGCGGCACCTCCGAGCTGTCGAAGGCCTCGCTGCTGGCGGCCGCGACAGGGGCATCAGCGGGGCAGAAGTCGACGCCAAAGGCCCGTCCGAGCCTGGCTGCGAAGGCGCGGACGCGGCTGTCCCGCTGGCCGCAAGCGTCCCTGTTCTGCGGAGCATGTCGCGGCCTGGGCAGGACAACAGCCGGAGGGTCGGGCGCATGGGGCTTGGCTGACGCTTCGGCCCAGTCACCCTGCTTTCGCCTTGAGCCTCGATCAGCAGGATTGTGCTCTGAAGGGAGCCACCGCCAGCGAGAAGTCATGTTGAAGGCAAGGTTGAGGCCACCGATCTGACGACAGACTCGCATCAACCGCGAGGATGAGCGGCCCTTGGGCACGGCAAGGATGCTGGCCATGGCGTCACCCAAGTACAAGTGGCGCTTCCCGAAATTCGCCATGGCACGCGTCTTGTGGAGATGAGCTAGGACCATGCTACGGACCTCGAGGATCACCTGGGCCTCCGAGCGGGCCCACCGTCTCACCAAGACCCGCCGCCATTCGCCGTCCCATATACTCGAGTCGATGTCGATCTTATCTTCTGGAACCTCGGGGGCGGGCCCGTCTATGTCGAAGCCTCCTAGAAGGGCGAGCGAGAGAGCATGATCTCGAGGTCGATAACCCAATTCATCTTCACGAGAAGATCTCCACCTCTCATTAAATCGGCCGAGCGACTTGACAGTGCTGACGTCCACCTTCTGCTGCACGATACACCCTCCCCAAGATGACGCATCGACAGCGAGAACCTCCTCAGGCCAAGCAGCCCCAATCTTTCGGGATGCGAGGAAGATGAGCCTTGCGGCCCAGCCCAGCTCACGTCGAACAGAGCCCCACAGACGGCGGCGACGAGGTCCAGCGTCAGCTGCAAAAGAAGTAACAGGCCGAGAAAACGCACAACAGCTCGCGGCGGATGAGAGCACGTGTCGTGTAATGAGACATGATAACCGTCAGAGTCTCCCCACTGACATACCCCTCCTTGAGGATCTGTTGAATAGCCAATCTGATCTTCCAGACGACGCGAGGACTCAGGCCAACTGTAGCGGTTTCATCGGAGAAGGTCCAACATAGAGCCGTCGCGCCGGGACCCGACTCCACTGGATGCGTGGGAAGATCCACTCCACTCAACTCCTGCTGTACCTCCTCCGCCGCGCCCCTGACAACCTCCCGATCCTTCCCGAAGGCGAAAAAGTTATCAACGTACTCGGTGCGTGCGAAAGGCTCCAGACACGGAGTGGGGAGGTGATCGACGACGGCATTGCTTTCAGTCGCGCCACGAAGCCTGCTGGCTCGATACTCAAGTACTTGCTGGCAGGCCCAGAGAGAAAGCTTCCAGCCCATCGGGATCACCTTCAGGACTGGAAAAAGGTATCGGCCCCGTCTGACAGCGCGGCCTTGGGCCGTCGAGACATTCACCAGGTTGGCTCGAGCCCTCGGGAGGGCGAACATGTCACGAAGAGCTTCGGGCAATTGCACGTTGTTAAAAGCGTTTACGATATCGACCGAGCCGACCTGGATGGGAGCCGCGCTGTCAACCTCTATGGCCGAAAAGGCAGCCCCAGACGCCAGCGCCACGGGGTCGCTATCACGAAAATGGCAAGATGGTAGCCTACCATCGACTATCAAGCGGTACTTCCCTGACTTCTTAAACGAAGAACAAGCCGCACGAGACCTCACCCGACAGGTGCCACTCGATCAGGTCGCAATCGGCCATCCTACGCAGCAACTCCGCGTAGAGGGCGGGCGACCGTCTGAGGGCGGGGTCCGAGTGCGGCCGGGCAGGCCCCCCCTCCGTCCTCTCCCTGCTTCGCGAGCTCCGCCGCCTCCTCGTAGGCCTTGCTGACCGGCATGAGGATCGCTGCGCTGCGCTCGACCTTGCCAGGTTCGCGGGTGATGGGGTCCAGGTAGACCATCGTCACCCCCGAGTCCTTGGTCGCCCCCAGGAAGATGGTGGCCTCCTCGAGCACCGCGAGCCGCAACGAGGATGAGTTCCTCTTGTTCTTGCCCTTCGGCCCCAAGAGGGGTGGGGCCACGAAGTCCATTTGGCATGCGCACTCAGCCCGCAGCGTCCTCCCGAGAAGGAGCTCGATCGTGGCACTGTTGCTGACGTCAATCATGTTGCAGTGGAAGTCCTCATCCCAGCAGCCCAAGGCAGCGTCGTGGACTGCCCCGCCCCAGTCATCGATCCGTATGCCGTCGGTCATGAGGAGCGAGCGGTGATGCCTGAGAGGCCCTCCGTGTCGGTGAGAGAGCCAGCTGCAGCACCACTGGGTGGGCCTGGGCCCGAGCATGGGCCAGTCTCGGGAGGGTGACTCCCGCAGTTGAACATCTGATACGACGATGCGACCCCTGAGACGATCCCGTGACACCAAGATCGTGGCCACGATGACCCTCAAATCGTGATAGCTCTCCGTGGTCGGGTACTCCTCCACGGGATGAGCCTGCAGGTCGCCGAACTCCACGGCCGTGCCTGAAGGTGCGGTGAAGATGCCGACCTCGCTCTGCACGGGATCAGTCTCCGCCAAGGAAGCGGGAGTCCCGCGAGGGCCGTGAATGGTCGACTCCACCGTCCCCCGTTGAGCCCCAGCGGCATCCGCGGACAAGCCCCCCGCAAGAGGCGCAGCAGGGGTCTGGGCACCAGCTGCTGGCTCCAGGCCGCCCTCCGGCATCACCGCAGGCGGCTGCGCCCGAGGGATGACAGCGCCTCCGGGCGGAGCCACCGTCGGCAAGCCCGCCGCCGCTGCCGGCTGGATGTACAGGTCATCAGCGGCCTGACGAGTCTGGCTGACGGACTCCGCGAGCTCGGCTGCACTGGGCGGGCGTCGGAACCTGCGTGCCTCGGCCCGCGCAATCCCGGGAGGGATGGTCCGTCGATCTGAAGCGAGAAGCACCGCCTGGTAGTAAGGGCTCGACCCCTCACGGTGCTCGAAGTACACATCGGCATCGGGCGTCATGAATCCCTCCAGCAGCTCATTGACTGGAGTCATCCCCTGCGGCCGCAAGTGGTCCCAGACTCGCTGGTGCTGCCAGCCTCGAGTCCCGTAGGGCAGGATCCAAGCCCAGGGCTGGACGGACCCTGACGCCATGACGGTGGGAGGCTGCCAGAGAAACTGATCCACAGCGGCCAGCCGTAGCGATGAGCTCTGCCCCACGAGCGAAGAGAGAAAGCCTAGCACCACGCTCCAGAACCAGCATGAGGGAGGCATCACGTCGGGCACTGGGCAGAATGAAGCTCGGGCAAGCCGCCTGCGTCGCTGTCGAGGACCCAGGGCACGATGGATAACTCAGTAACGAGACAAGTCAGCTGGTACGTGTATGGTGGACTCACGGGATATGCAGGAGCTGAGGGGCAACGACTGTGGTGCGATTGCGCCCGCTCTCAGCCAATCGGTCACCCGGTTCAGCGAGAACTGGGCTTGCGCTTGAGCCAACAAGGTCACGGAAACAACACTCAGACGTGGTGCAAGCCAGCGACCTTCACGGCGGCCCAACCCCGAGACAGAAGCTAACAAAGACGTGTTAAACACTAGGCAGCTCAAACTACCAAAATCAGCCAGGGAAGGGGCCATCCGATGGGTTGAGGGACGGCCGACGAGCCTCACCAGCCAAGGAAGGGGCCAGCCGTGGGGCCGAGCGACTGAGGGGCAGCCGACAAGCCTGGGGCGACCAGCGCAACCGACGGACAAGCGAAAACAAACCAAAATAACCAACGCAAGCCGTGGGAAGGGGCCAGCCGAGGTCCCGAGCGACCGAGGGGAGGCCGACGAGCCTGGGGCGACCAGCACAATCGACGGACAAGCGAAAACAAGCTAAGACAACAAAAAGCAGCCAGGGAAGGGTCCAGCCGATGGGCCGAGCGACCGAGGGGCGGCCGACGAGCCTGAGGCAACCGACGGAAAAGCGAAAGCAAACCAAAACAACCGAAACCAGCCAGACAAGCCAAAACAACCGACGGACAAGCGAAAACCACCATCAACAACCAACCTCATCCAGGGAAGGGACAACCAAACCCTAGAAATAGATTGGGTTTCTGCCCGCCCCCCAAAACACATCAAAGCATATTGATTCTTGAAGTATGCAGGCGCCCCAAATAGATTGGGATACGGGAGTCAAGAGATACTCACTTCCAACGGCCGGTGTGCAATCCTAGAATGCGGTCTCTTCCCCGAGGCTTGGCTGCGAGGACCCCAGTAGTAACATGAATCTGCCTGGGCCACGACCCTGCCTGCTCCGCCTGATTCAGAGGATCAGTGCACGCTTGCCTGCCTTGCATAGGTAAACGTGCGATGTCACTGACGCTCAAATTGTCGACGCCCGTGGTCTTCCTTGCAGACAAGCGTCCCGACGCATTATCAATGTCCGCCACCGAGAGCGGATGAAAAGCTTCACTCCGAGCTAGAGCATGCGAGCGATAGCAGCAACGATACCATTCCAAGTGTCCACTTAATCGGTCTATACTTCTGCCTAATACCTCGTACGAGAGCGCAAACTCTGTTCAGGATCCGCTGAACCTTCTACCTGCTGCGTGTCTGGAGGATTGTCCTTCACACGCTTGTGAAGTAGCCCAGGAGAGGTAGCCCACGTCTTGCGAATACACTTGGTGAACTTCTGATGGCCTTTAAAGAGGGCTCTGGTGGTGAGGCGCTCTGTGAGCCGCAAAAGTGAATCCAACAAATCCATGGAAGTGACAGAGATATGTGGCTCAGAACCCTCCTCGCACTGGAGGAGGAGGAGGGGGAGGAGGAGGAGTAGGAGGAGATAGGAGGAGGAGGAGGAGGAGGAGGAGGGCGAGACAGGATGGATCTGGATGGAGGAGGAGGAAAGACAAATGAGGGAATGAGGAGGCTAAGGGCTAAGACAACGCAGAGGCCGCCCTCCTTGAGAACGAACTTGACGCTGGTCGCCTTGGCCTTCGCGATCGATGCCAAATGCGTCACGGACATGTTGGGCCTGGTCGGGCAGCGAGAGGCCCGTTTCGCTGCGGCCACACTCCTGATTGATATTGCCCTTGCTCTATCTAACTTCCCTGGGGTGCCCTCTCTGGTCATCAGCTTGGTGGTGTGATTCGTGATTCATCGAATCAGAAACCCACCCCTCGCCCTCATGGCAGTTCTTACGACCACACCAAGCAACTAACCACAGGCAATACCGTATACCAAGGTTCCAAGCGGGCAGTCTTTCAGCACATCCCTCGCCATGAAGAAAGTCTGCGGTGGGTTCAGACTATAGGAAATGTGTCGCGCCTTCCTCATTTAGCGCTGATCACTGATCAAAAGTGTAGACAATGCTCGGCGAGGTTCGGCGAACCACACAATTACCCTTGGAGCCCCTGCCTTCTGAGGCGGATTTGGTTAAACATGGGACCTTCCCATTCTTTCAAAAGCGGGCCGCTTCCCACGTCTGCAGGCCAGAATAGTGTGCGGCCCGCAGGGATCCTTCGACAAGTAGGCACGTCGCGCGCGAAGCGACGATGCCGAGGCTTTGTAATACCACGCAGCGTGATAGCATGATGGATGACCGCTGAGCAAAAGCATCAAATCCCTCACGTGGTGAACGCTGGGCGTCCATTGAACATCCAGATCGCCTCTACTGAAAAACGAACACATATCCCTTGCACCTACAAGTCAATCGAACTCTGCCAGCACGGTGCCTCATTGCACACGCCCTCGATCGCGGGTAATCACTCAGGCCACTGTGGACCAGCTTGGGCGTTCCAACCACCTTTCGAGAGCTTTCGCCGACCACTGACAGCTGGGAGGCCCCCCCGCTTCTCACTCGGGACTCCTTAGGCCACAGCGAACGAAGAATCTGTAAACGCTCCGCCTACGTAAGCGTTGGGTTCCAGAAGCCCTGAGCCCAAACATGTGATCAATTCTCGGGAGCTCGACTTTAGCTTTAAGTCGGGCCTGTCCCCCTACAGGGGGATCTTCGACGAAAAATAAAAAAATACCCCAACAATAATCCAAAAATAGTCCAAACATCGTATGGGGACTATTTTTTGAATATGTTTTGGCCTTGTTGGGGTATTTTTATGGTATTTTCTATTTGTCGACGAAAATCCCCCTGTAGGGGGACACGCCCGACCTAACTTTAGCTTCCGCAGGCGTCCGCCGAGCTTCCGCCGCCTTCCGCCGGCGACGCCGCCGCCGTTTCACTCCCGCCGCCTGCCGCCGCCCTTCTGCCGCCTTCCGCCGCGGAAGCGATGGCAACCCCTTTTCGAACCTCGAAGGCAAGGTCCTCTTCGCAACGCCTCCCACGGCTGACCCCAGGACACCTGGACCCAAACGCTGTAGAACCTCCAAGTGGCGCACCTCCTGCTTCCGCCGGCTTCCGCCGGCCCTCCCGCCGACCTCCGCGGGCCCTCCGCCGAGGAGGGGGCGACAACTCCGCCGATCCCTCGAGGGCGCTGCCCGGCTCGGAGTGCTCCGCAGGACCAGAGGCGCGGCGGTGACAGAGCCTCGGGCGGGGCGCGGGCAGCCCCACCCGGGCAGCCCCGGCCGGCCTCCGCCTGGCCCCCGCGCAGCCCCAGCCGGCCCCAACGGGCTCCCGCAGCAGCCCGGGGGGAGCGCAGCGCTCTGGCGCCGCCTCTGGCGGCGCCCCTGGGGCGCGGAGCGCCCCAGGACTGGGGCGTCGAGACCGCCCTGGGCTGCACAGTCGGGGGGGCCAGTGGAGGCCAGCTGGGACTACCCGGAGGGGGCCCGTTGAGGCCAGCTGGGACTGCCTGGGTGGGGCTGTCTGCGCGCAGCCCGAGGCCTTCGTGGGGGGCGTTCGCTTCGGACACGCGGCGCAGCTTCGCGCGTTCGCAGCCCGTGGGCGCTGCATCGCAGGTCAGAACGCGCTCTGCCGAGGGCGATCGCCTCGTGTCAACGGTCAAGCCCGACGGGGGCCCTCGAGCCAATGCGGCGCCGACCCACAGCCAAGCCGCCCAGAGAAGCGGCGGCCAGTCCAGAAGGGGCCCTCCAGCCTGGGCGCTGAATCGCAGCTCAAGCATTGCCGCTCGCGCCCAGCGCGTGGGGCTTGCTGCATTCTTCAGCTCCCGTGGCCTGCTGACCTGGACCTTCTTCGACTTGTCCTCTTCCTCCTTCTGGCACCTGAGCTCGCTGTGTCGGAGAATCGTTTCTCCTCGTCCCCCTCATCCTCCTTGTCAGTCCTCATGCGGCATCTTTCGTCTTTCCGTTTTCCTCCTCCTCGCTCCCATATTCCTTCTCACTTCTGCATTATTTTCCTGATCCTCATCCTCGTTATCCTCGTTCTCCTCCTCCTTCTTCTGATCCTCCTGCTCCTCCTGCTGCTCCTCCTCCTCCTCCTACTCATCCTCCCCCTTCTCCTGCTCCTCCTCCTCCTCCTCGCCTCCTCTCCTCCTCTCCTTCTACAATTGTGAATGCTACTCTCCTCTCTCTCCTGGTGACGTCCGGGTAATGTACGGCCCCCCTTCCGTGTACTCGCTTTTTACACACAGGATTGCCGGCAGTTGGGTTTTCGTTTTGGTTTTTTGAAATTCCTGCTCGCTGAAGCGCTGGCCTCATTTTCGGGCTACGCTCGTTCCAAATCGCGCTCCCGCTGCAGCGCTGGCCTCATTTCCGCACTTCCGCTCGTTCCGAATCGTGCTCCCGCTGCAGCGCTGGCGTCATTACTTCCAGCGCCATGCCACGGCATGGTTTTCGGTCCTTCCAAATCGGCCCTAACATCAAAATTATCCCGGCAAAGCAACCCAACAGCGATGTGTAGGAGCATATCTGGAAGCATTCCCCTTAAGATTCAGATGAGAATCCTGTTGTAGAATTCTGCTGTTCTCGCAGTCGTAGTCGCATTCGCGATGACAGTCGCAGTGGCAACGGCAGTCGCAGTCACAGCCTCAGCCTCAGCCTGCCTCAGCCTCAGCCTCAGCCTGCCTCAGCCAGCCTCAGCCTGCCTCAGCCTCAGCCTCAGCCTGCTTCAGCCTCAGCCTCAGTCTGCCTTCAGCCTCGGCCTCAGCCTCAGCCTGCCTCAGCCTCAGCCTGCATCAGCCTCAGCCTCAGCCTCAGCCTGCCTCAGCATCAGCCTGCCTCAGCCTCAGCCTCAGCCTGCCTCAGCCTCAGCCTGCTTCAGCCTCAGCCTCAGTCTGCCTCAGCCTCTTCAGCCTCAGCCTCAGCCTCAGCCTGCCTCAGCCTCAGCCTGCATCAGCCTCAGCCTCAGCCTCAGCCTGCCTCAGCATCAGCCTCAGCCTCAGCCTCAGCCTCAGCCTGCCTCAGCCTCAGCCTCAGCCTGCTTCAGCCTCAGCCTCAGTCTGCCTTCAGCCTCGGCCTCAGCCTCAGCCTGCCTCAGCCTCAGCCTGCCTCAGCCTCAGCCTCAGCCTCAGCCTGCCTCAGCCTCAGCCTGCCTCAGCCTCAGCCTCAGCCTGCCTCAGCCTCAGCCTCAGCCTGCTCAGCCTCAGCCTCAGTCTGCCTTCAGCCTCGGCCTCAGCCTCAGCCTGCCTCAGCCTCAGCCTGCATCAGCCTCAGCCTCAGCCTCAGCCTCAGCCTGCCTCAGCCTGCCTCAGCCTCAGCCTCAGCCTGCCTCAGCCTCAGCCTCAGCCTGCTTCAGCCTCAGCTCAGTCTGCCTTCAGCCTCGGCCTCAGCCTCAGCCTCAGCCTCAGCCTCAGCCTCAGCCTGCATCAGCCTCAGCCTCAGCCTCAGCCTGCCTCAGCCTCATCAGCCAGCCTCAGCCTCAGCCTCAGCCTCAGCCTCAGCCTCAGCCTCAGCCTCAGCCTCAGCCTCAGCCTCAGTCAGCCTCAGCCTCGGCCTCAGCCTCAGCCTCAGCCTGCATCAGCCTCAGCCTCAGCCTCAGCCTGCCTCAGCCTCAGCCTGCCTCAGCCTCAGCCTCAGCCTCAGCCTCAGCCTCAGCCTGCCTCAGCATCAGCCTGCCTCAGCCTCAGCCTCAGCCTCAGCCTGCCTCAGCCTCAGCCTCAGCCTGCTTCAGCCTCAGCCTCAGTCTGCCTTCAGCCTCGGCCTCAGCCTCAGCCTGCCTCAGCCTCAGCCTGCCTCAGCATCAGCCTGCCTCAGCATTCAAAATGTGGCCCAGGAATGGAGTTCTGGGAACTCGAAGAACACGAAGTGGCCTACAGTTGGCTCCGGGCATTCAAAATCATACCCAGGAGTGGAGTTCTGGGAACTCGAAGACCACGAAGTGGCCTACAGTTGGTTCCGGGCGTTCAAAATGTGGCCCGGGAATGGAGTTCTGGGAACTCGAAGAGCACGAAGTGGTCTCCAGCTGGCTCCGGGCATTCAAAATGTGGCCCGGGAATGGAGTTCCGGGAACTCGAAGACCACGAAGTGGCCTACAGTTGGCTCCGGGCATTCAGAATGTGGCCCGGGAATGGAGTTCTGGGGCCTCGAAGACCACGAAGTGTGTCACTGTTTGCTAAAAAAATCCCCTGCATCCCCCCGGATCGCGCCCAGACCCCCCTGGGGCGTCATGATGCTCTGTTTTGACCCTACTAGAAACCCATCAGTCTTCGCTGTTAGGTTAAAAATGTCCCCCGACAAAAACCATCGGAAGTGATTGTACATTCGGTGTCGATTCGTTGATTCTTGGGGCCGCAGAAGCCCCCCCCACTTGGGGGCTTCGCCACGGCATGCTATGTCAAGCTACGCGTCCTCCGAATCGCGTTCCCGCTGCAGCGCTGGCCTCCTTCCCGCGCTTCCGCTCGATCCGAATCGTACTCGCGCTGCAGCGCTGGCATCATTATTTCCGGCGCCATGCCACGGCATGGTTTTCGGTCCTTCCAAATACGCCCCAAATCTGCAAATTGCCCCGCGACTTGACCCTGTGAGGGGCCCAAGGGCCCAGTGTGAGCCGATTGTCCAAGGAAGCCAGACCATCGAGCCTGGCAGCCCGCCGTACTATTCCCTGACATCCGTCCTCGCCCGCCGCAGCTTCCCCCGCCACCGCCGCCGTCGTCATCTGCGTCGTTGTCGCCGTCGGCAATTTCTGTGCGTTCCCCGGAGCTTCCGGAAATCTTCGGGCCATCCGCCACACCTCGTGCAGAGCTGTCCGGGGAACCCAGGGAAACTTTGAAGGGAGCTCGGGGAACGCAAGGCAGCGTGTCGAAAGGAAGGGGGGGGAGCCTTACGCTATTACAGTTCCCCTACCAGACGGCACTTGGCATTCGAAAGCGCCCACATCGGGCAGGCACGGTTGCGCGGGATTCTGGACAGGCCTTCTCCTTTTGCACACGGGCCGTTTACCCTCCAAGGCATCCGGTGCCATGGCATGGCATGCAATGCGATGTTGCGTTGTGCTCCGCTGTGCGATGCCAGGCTTTGCGATGTTACGCTTTGTGATGCAATGCTACAATACGCAATGCCAAGCCATGCTATGACATGCTCTGCTCTGCTGCGCTCTTCTACACCATTCTTTGCCGTGCTTTACCATGCATCGCAAACCCTCTCCGGATCATTGCCTTGCTCGACACCAGCCTGTGCGCATAAAGAGGAGATCTGCGCCATGGTAAAGGGTTGGGAGGGAAGGGTGTGACGACAAATATGACGCGAGCGCACCTAGCTCGCCTCCTCCCCCCTCCTCCTTCTCCTCCTCCCGTCTCCGCGGGCCACCTTGTCGCCGCCCACCGGACCCCCTCTCACGCCTCGCTCTTCCCTCCTTCCTCCTCCCCATCCCTCCTCTCTTCCCTCCTCCTTCTCCGTCGCTCTTCGCGCTCCCTCCTCCTGCACTACTCGCTCTTCCCTCCTTCCTCCTCCCCATCCCTCCTCTCTTCCCTCCTCCCTCTCCGTCGCTCTTCGCGCTCCCTCCTCCTGCACGCCTCGCTCTTCCCTCGATGCGGTCGAGCAGCAGCGCTTCACCCGCGACGATCCATCCGTCTCTCCAGCGGCAGGCAACCGCGGGCACGGGGCTGCTCTCAGGCGTACCGCGGGCACGGGGCTGCTCTCAGGCGTTCAGCCCTCCATCGTTCCTGGATGAGCTGGTGGGCATGCGCGAGGCGTCCAGACTCTCCCCAGGTTCACACACACAAACACACACGCCCCTATCCAAAGCGCCCGCATACCATCGGCTTTGCGAACGCCACGCGGGAGACGAGGACCGTGCTGTTCGAGTTCTTCGCCGGGGTAGCAGCCGCGCCAGTTCTGTCCTCGCCTGTCAGGTCTTCCCATGTCCTCTCACATCGCCTCTCCTCTTCCCACTCATTGCGTTCGCCTCACTGACAAGATATCACCCGCCCTCGTGCCTCTGGCGGCGCGCACAAGGGGGTAGGGGAAGGGGGGGAGGCCTCTTCGAAGGAGGCTGCTTCTCAGAAGGCGCCGGCGCTACATCTACACACATGGCCCGCGCCCTCTGAGCAGCAGGGGGTGCTTCTGAGAGGCCTCCCCCCTGCTCCTGCCCCCCTCCGCGCGCGGCTGGCCTGCCCAGAGGACGCTCCGCCTGAAACACCCTCTGGCCTGCGAGCCGCGGCCCCTGACCCAGCCCGAGGGGCACACGAACCTGCGACGGTCGCACCCGGCCGCCTTCGCGTTTGCCAGGGCGGCGGGGCGCGCGTCGGGCCACGGCGCAGCGCAGACAGGAGGAGGAGGAATCCGCTCTGCGCACGCCTGGAGTCCCGAAACGGTGGGGTGACAGACCGCGCGGTGACCTCGAAATCCCCCGAGACCTCACCGCACGCTCCGTCACCGCACGGCCTTGGGACCCTGGATAGCCCCTGTCGCCCGAGACGTCCTCGGAGAACGACCCGAGCCCCAAAACCGTGCGGTGACCCCGAATCCCCACCGAGTCACCGCACGGTGTAATCACCCCTCGACTACAAGCAAGAGTGACCCTAGGTAAGAGTGACCTTTGGTGCGCGGCTTTTGGGGGACCGCGGGGGGGACAAACCCGAGCGCGCAGGACGCTACTATCGCATCGCATTCGGCGATCGGAAGACCCCACTGGGCCCGCACCGAAGGTCACTCCGGCGAAGGGTCACTTTTACGTGTAGTCGAAACACCCCGTTTGGGGGGCCCCGAGCACGGCCGACAGTATTCCGGAGGAAAAGAAGCACACAGACACAAGTAATCCTCGATTCCCCAGAAAATATGGAAAAATATGGGAAGTGGGGGGGAAGACAGAAACCAAGAAAATACGGAAAACATGGGGAATCTTTCTATTTGTGTGTATCTATTTGTGTCCTGGGGACCCTTCAAGTATGCTTGACCACAGAAGCCCTGGCTCCAACAGTGCCGCCTTCCAGCCAGCCGAAAAAGAAGCAGTGGTTGTGGTCATTTCCCTGGTGCCAAGCGTAACGAAAATGACCACAGCCACTGCTTTGTTTCTGCTGGCTGGAAGGCGGCAACAAAAGAAAAGCAGTGGCTGTGGTTGTTTTCACGTCCAGTAGTTTGGGGGCCCCCGAGCACGGCCGACAGTATGCCTGACCCCAGAAGCCCTGGCTCCAACAGTGCTGGCGCCTCCGCCCGCACTTCCGCCGGCGGGCCTGCTGCCGCTCTACCTCCCGCCGGCCCTCCGCCGGCCTTCCGCCGAGGGCGCGGCTGCGTCGCCGTCGTCGTCGTCGTCGTCGCCGCCGTCGTCGTCGTCGTCGGCGTCGGCGGCGTCGTCTTCGCCGTCGTCGTCGTCGGCGTCTTCGCCGTCGTCGTCGTCGTCGTCGTCGTCGGCGTCGGCGGCGTCGTCTTCGCCGTCGTCGTCGTCGTCGGCGTCTTCGCCGTCGTCGTCGTCGTCGTCGGCGTCGTCTTTCGTCGGCGTCGGCGGCGTCGTCGTCCGCGAGGCCAGGCCTGGCGCAGAGCCAGCGGTGCGCCCCCGTGGCCTCGACTGCCGCGCAGACCAGAGCACGAGATGGCTCGGCAGCGGCCTTCGGTCTCGGACCCCCCTCCTCCTCGGCGCTGCTCTCGGCTTCCGGGCGTCTCCTCTCCCGTCTCTGGCCTGCTCCTCCCTCCTCCTCCTCCTCCTCCTCCTCCTCCTCCTCCTCCTTCCTCCTTCCTCCTTCTCCTCCTCGTCCTCCTCCTCGTCCTGCTCCTCGTCCTCCTCCTCCTCCTTCCCTGCGTTGCCACGTGTCGCCAAAACGATGCCACCCTTCTCCTTCCGCAGTCGATGTGAAGATGTGCAGACCATAACTGACAATGATTTGGCACGCCCGAAATGGGTATGGTAAAAATGGGTACGATGTACCGCAGCACATGTTGTCCAAAATCCAGCAGTCGCTAGTGGGCCACCAACCTTCTGTCTCAAGTTGGCAACGTCCGCGGCGACACCGACAACGAGTCCTTCCTGTTCAAAATAGGCAAGAAATGCTTATGGTCTTCATACCCGTTCTTTCCGTACCCTTTTCGATCGTACCGGATAGATGTACTTCGTTGTTGGTATAGGTCTCGGCCAGCTGAAGGTACCGGCAACCAGCGCACACACGCAAGCAGATCACGCAGAGTTCCCCACATATCTCACGAGAGCACGCACCTCGCACACAGAGAGGCGGGGGAGCAGGCGGGGGCGCTGGCGGAGACCCAGGCGATGGATCAAGGCGGGTGGAGGGAGGACGAGGATGAGCGTGGCGGAAGAGAAGGAAAGGAAAGCCGAGCAGGGTTATTTTGCGGACATTCGATGTATGTTTCATGGATTCGACGGAAAAAAAGCAGTTCGGAGGTAAAACAATGAGTTCTGTAGTCGACCTCCACGCAACACGATTACTCAACGCCCTCGACACAAATGGTGCTCCAGGTGGCCGCACTGTTGCTCGCCAGTCTTTCTGGATCTCTTGGCCGCCTGGCCGCGATCGGCCGCCAGGGCGCGCTGGGCCCTCGCACTCGTCTTGCACCTCGTCAAACTTCGAGATGAGCATGGACAGGAACAGGCTCATGAACAGCCCCTGCCCGAACAGGATCAGGGAGATAAAGAGGAGCGCCGCCACCACGGTAGGTGGTACGAACCATATCGAGGACCTCGGCGAGACTGCCCGTGCGTCTGGCTGTGTTGCCGCCTCCTCCACCTCCTCCTCTTCCTCATCATCATCGTCGTCCTCCTCCTCCTCATCATAATCATCATCCTCGTCATCATAATGATAATCATCATCATCATCCTCATCCTCATCATCATCATCATCATCATCCTCATCATCATCGTCGTCATCATCATCATCGTCATCATCATCATCATCAGCATCATCATCATCATTATCATCATTATCCTCTTCCCTTTCCTCCGCGTCTTCCTGCTCCTCACCAGCTCCTTTCGCCCAGGCCGAGGAGATCGGGTCAAGAGAGGATCCCCCAGTTATGTTCTGCACTGGCTGTGATGTGAGTGTGCAGAGGAAGTACAGGCCAAGGTAGGACCTGGCGGATGTCCGTAAAGGTAATGAGCACCCTGGACTTGCAACTCAGAGGAGCAGGCTGCGGAGAGGCCTGCATCCCAACTGAACCAAGCCCCCGCCCCTCAAGCTCGGGCAACTGTGTCATCCCAACTGAACCAAGCCCCCGCCCCTCAAGCTCGGGCAACTGTGTACACCGCCCTTTGAGGTTCGAGCTCAGTGGGTGGGGAAGATGAGCATTTCCGATGTTGGTTCGGGGTCAGGGCCTCTTGGGGCCTCCTACGAGTTAGAAGTCCCTGAATCTCTGGAAGCCTATAGGGCCGCTGCGTTGCATGGCTTTTCCGACTCACTGGAAGCGGTCGAATGGTGCCGCCGCGAGCGTGCACGAGAGGCCTTTGACATGCAGGCCCAGAGGTAGGAGGACTCCCTCAGCCCAGAGTGATGTGTACCGGCTGGCCTTCCAGTACCCTGTGTGGAGTAGCATATTGTTGCCTTCGTTTCGGGCTCCTGTGCTTTTTCATGGGAATGCCCCGGAACAATCGTTTAGCATTGTGTTGGCTTCTCTGGGCTGTTTGTCAAGTTGAAAATATTCGAGCTTTCGCAAGCTGTGAGGGCGCATGCTCAATTTTCAGGCCTGCCCTGCTTTACCCTCCCCAGTTCCTTAACCTCCTCCCCCACCTACCTCGTCATTACACGGGGAAGAGCAATCGTGAGCTGTAGATCGGCTACCTATCGCGCCGAGCGACCAGGCCATGCTTCTGGAGGGATGGCTTGAACACTTGATTTTCTCTCCTCCTCCCTTTCCGTAATCAGTTTCCGCATCGTCCTTCTCTCCTCTTCCATCTTCTCCCTTCCCTTTCCGCCATCATTTTCCTCGTCCTCAGCTTTCAGAGTGAGAGGTACGAGAGCCTGAAAATCACTGTACCGACATCTGCCTACCATTGAGCCGATGTCCGACCAGCTCCAACCCTTGGCCATCGCTTCCGAACGAGCCGCTCCTCCGTTTCCGCCCGTTTTTTCCCCTCCTCTTTTCTCCCTTGTTGACGTTGTTCGGACTTGAGATGTTGGCACGAAGCGTTCATGCAGGAAGAAACAAAAACCTACTTGACGATGCGGCTAAGAGCAAATTAACCTGGCGGGCGCAGCGGAAAAAAAACGGTTCAGAAGAAAGGCGAAGCGCAGCAAATAGGAGCTTGCGCCCGCCAGGTGGTAAATACGGCAAGCCTGTGCGCCTTAGTATGTCAACCTCCCTCCCATACCATCAACACCCATCCGCCTTGTTTTGGCCAGGCAAACCGTGTACTGAAAGACGTGCATGCGAAGGATCGGGCGAGACAGTGCTAGAAAGGGGGGATACCAGCACACACACAGACAGAGAAAAATCAAGCACGGTCGGAGAAATCACTACGGGGGTTGAGCAACGCAGGAGGTCTCGCCAATGCGATATCCCGCAGATGCGTTGAACAAAGGAAAAAGACTGGACGCTGAAAGGGAGGAACGTTAAAGGAAGCGAAAAAAGCTACTCATGCCTAGGCAAGAGAACGCGCGAAATAAGTAGGGCCTGAAGCCCTGTAAAGACTTGCGGAAAACATTAGATCGAGGCCTGCCTACAAGGCTGTGGCCTGACTGGCGTTCCTGGGGCCCGCCCCGCCCTGGGGGCCAGGGGGGCCCGAAAGAAGGAAGTGGAGGGCTGGGATGGACAAGGAGCGGATCGAAGGCGGTGTGGGGCAAGTGTAAATAACGTGACACTGCAAACAGAGCCCAAGTAAGAAGCGCGCGAGATATGAGATTCATCGAGCAACGTGCTGCAACATGCTTGCTGACATGGCCGCAGACCCAATTCGGATCTGTTTTGAGCATCCAGGCCTCTAACGACATCGAGAGATCCGTGTTGCGGAAGGCCTGGATGGGCTTTGAAGGCGCAGCCTTCATGATGAGGAAGGCCCAGACGGTTTGGAAAGACCCGGCCGCGTGTTGCGGACTGCCCAGACGGTTTGGGGAGGCCCGTCCCCGTGTTGCCGAAGGCCCGGGCGGTTTGGGAAGACCCGTCCCCGTCTGCTGCGGCAGGCCCCCGGGCGGTTTGGGAAGGCGCGGCTGCGCGCTGCGGAAGGTCCGGCCGTTCTTTTAAGGCGCGGCTCCGTATGGCAGAAGGCCCGGATGTTTTGGGAACGAACGGCTGCGTGTTCTGGAAGGCCCGGATGGTGAACCCTAAACCCAAGACCCAAGTCCCAAAACCCCAAACCCAAACCCCAAAACCAAAAAACAAAGCACTAAACAATCAACCCCTAAACCGAAACCCAAGACCCTAATCCCTAAGAGCCTAAGTGCCTGAGAGCTTATGAGCCAAAGAGCCGAAGAACCCTGAGACACTAAGACCCCAATACTCTAAGACCAGAAGGCCCTAAGACCCCAAGACCCTATGACCCTGAGACCCTAAGACCCGAAGACCCGAAGAACCGATGACCCGAGCACCCGAAGACCCGAAAACCCTAAGACCCGAAGGCCCAAAGACCCCCAAACCCGAAGAACCGAACGCCCTAAGACCCTGAGACCCTTAGACTATAAGACCCTAAGACGCAAAGCTCCTGAGGCTCGAAGACACGAAGACCCTGAGACCAGAAGACCCGAAGACTCGAACACCCTAAGACCCGAAAGCCCGAAGACCCCAAGACCCGAAGACCCGAAAACCCTAGGACCCAAAGGCGCAAAGACCCGAATAACCGAATAACCGAAGACCCTAAGACCCAAAGACCCTGAGGCCGTGAGACCGTGAGACCTCAAGACCCCAACGGCCCGAAGACCCCGAACCCCCCAGACCCCCAGACCACAAGACCCAAGAACCCTCAGGCCCTCAGACCGTAGAACCCTACGACCCTATGACCGTAAGGCCTCAAGACCAGAAGACCCGAATACCCCAATACCTTAACGCCCTAAGACCCGAAGGCCCTCAGACCCCCAGACCCTCAGACCCGAAGCCCCAAAGACCCTAAAATCCTAAGACTCTAGATCCCTGAGGACCTAAGACCCTGAGACCCTGAGGCCCTGAGACCCTAAGACACCCAAACCCTAATGCCCTAAAGCCCGACGACTCTGGGACATAAAAACCCGAAGGCCCGAAGACCCGAAGAACCGAAGACCCGAAGAAACGATATCGCTAGGACCGTTGGACCCTAAGACCCGGAGACCCTACGACCCAAGGACACTGAGCCCTAAGAACCCAAAAGTCCCAAGACCCTAGGCCCTGAGACTCTCAGACCCCAAGACACTGAGACCCCGCGACACTGCGACCCCGAGACCCTGAGTTCATGAGGCCCGAAGACCCAAAGACCCTGCGACCCGAAATCCAGAAGGCCCCAAGACCCTAGGACCCTCGGACCCAAATGCCCAAGGACCCGAGGGCCCGAAAACAAGAAGACCCGAAGACCCTTGGACCCTAGGACCCGAAGACCTTAAGACCCTAAGACCCCACGACCCTAAGACCCGAAGAAGACCCGACGACCAGAAGACCCAAGACCCTAAGACCCTGAGGACCTAAGACCCGAAGACCCTCAGACCCGAAGAAGACCCGAAGAAGACCCGAATACCCGGGGGGCCGAGGACCCGAAGACCCTGAGACCCCAATACCCTAAGACCCTCAGTCCCTAAGACTGGAAGACCCGAATGCCCTCAGGCCCCGAGACCCTGAAGCTCTAAGACCCCAGGACCCTAGGCCCGAAGACCCTGAGACCCTCAGGAGAACAGAAGACCCTAAGACCCTCAGACCCGAAGGCCTGAAGACCCGATGACCCTAAGACCCTACGACCCTAGGTCACTAGGACCCTAGGACCCTAAGACCCCGAAGGCCCCAAGACCCTAAGACCCGAAGACCCTGAGACCCTAGGACCCTCAGGCCACAGGACCCCAGGACCCTGAGGCCCTCGGATACCAAGACCCCAAAACCCTAAGGCCCGAAGACCCTAAGACCCGAAGAACCTAGGACCCGAAGAACCCTATACCCTAAGACCCTCAGGCACTCAGACCCACGCGAAGACCCTAAGACCTCAAGATCATGAGACCCTGAAGCCCTAAGACCCGAAGACCCGAAGCTCTCGGACCCTCAGACCCCAAGACCCGAAAACCCTCAGACCATAGGACCCTAAGACCCTACGACCCGAAAACCCAAGACCGGCCGAAGACCCGAAGACCAGAATTCCCTAGGACCCGAAGGCCCTAAGACAATCAGGCCCAAAGGCCAGAGGACCCTAAGACCTTAGGACCCTGGGGAGCCACCACGTTGCGAATGGCCTTGCGGACAGCCACCCTACATTGGACCGCTACGATCTGGCGGAAGGCCCGGCGAACGGCCTCCTGCGTTGGGGGGCCACGACGTCGCGGAAGGCCCGGCGAGGGAGCCACCGTGTTGCGGAAGGCCCGGCGGACGGCCCCCCCTACGATGCGACGCTGCCGCGCTGCGGGAGGCCCGGCGAAAAGCCTCCCACGTTGGGGGGCCACCGCATTGCGGAAGGCCCGGCGCGGGGGGCCGCCGCGCTGCGGAAGGCCCGGCGGACGGCCCCCCCACGTCGGGGCGCTGCCACGCTGCGAAAGGCCCGCGGACAGCATCCTGCGCTGGCGGGCCGCCATGCTGCGGAAGGCCCA